CAAGTTGCCCAGGCGGGTCTCGAACCCGCGGGCTCAGACAATCCACTCACCTCAGCCTCCCAAAGCACTGGGATTACAGGGTGAGCCACCAAGCCCGGCTCTTAAGGATTTGAATATCAAACTTTTTTTTTTTTTTTGGTTGGAGTCTCATTCTTGTCTCCCAGGCTGGAGTGCAGTGGCATGCTCACAGCCACCGCAGCCTTGACTTGCTGGGCTTAGGTGGTCATTCCGTCTCAGCCTTCCGAGTAGCTGGAACTATAGACACGCCACCACGCCTGGCTAGTTTTTGAGATTTACTGTAGAGACGAGGTCTCACCAAGTTGCCCAGGATAGTCTTGAACCCCCAGGGCTCAGGCAATCCTCTCGCTTCAGCCTCCCAAAGTGCTGGAATTACAGACTGAGCCACTGCGCCAGGCGAACAAACTTTGTTTTGTAAGTTAATTTTAAAATGTTCTTAAAATCATTATCGCTCCTGAATAAAAACCACAAGCTTTTTTTGGCTGATGAATTCCTTGTCAACATACATTAACAGCTCAAAGTGCTTTTACCTGTTCTTCCTAAACAGCCGCTTTCATAGCTGTCACCTCTCACCTGAGCATTGGATACAGCATTTATCCTAGAATAGGACAAAATCATTCAATAAATTTCATGCTGTTAAATACTCAGATATTTACATGTCACTGAAATAGCTAATGAAATATGTAAAATAATTGCAATAGCTTGCTTGACATAAATAACTCCATTCTGTTAAAATCTTCCATCTTAGCTGTCTGCCTGATCTAAAAATGACCCCCCCCCCAGAGTATACGTGTGATTGTTGTAACGTTTCCATGACCACAGACCCACAGCCTTGTTCCCCTGAGCTGTTCAGGCTGCCTTGTTCCTCTGAGCTGTTCACGCTGACAGTTTGAAAACTCCCTAGCTACAAGTTCCGTGTAATTGTATGCTTTGTTAGCTGAAATCAAATGTTGCGCCAAGAGATTGTTCCTTGCAAAATTCTCCCTGCCACATCCCCATATTTTATTCCTATATTTTGTTCTCTTTTGTTTTTAGTTCCTTGTTCCTTCACCCCTCTGCTATGTAGCCCACTTTTGGTTTTTGCCTTTATAAGCCTCTTGCTAGTTTAGCTTGGGGTCGAGAGCTTTCTTGGCATAAGCCCACTCTTGACCGCGCGCTAATAAAGGACTCATAATTCAACCTCAGTGTGCTGACGATTCTTCTTTCTCATAGTTTGGCTATAACAACACTTAGAAGGGAAACAGATTATTTATTAACTAAAATCAATACCTGAATAACTAAACATGTCTTTTAAGCAAACAAAAAAGAATGCAGTGGATAGAAATGTTACATTAGTCTTATTTTCCTAAAGTATGCCCAGAAACACACTTAAGAAACTTCTATCGGCCAATGCCTTGCTAAGCTATGGTGTGGCCACGTGCTTTTTGAACTATAGCCAGGCCATGTTTTCTTAAGCTTTGGCCCTGTCCCCTACTTTGGGGAGTTGAATCTTCTCTTTCTCTCTCTCCTTCTAGTTTAGTTTTTAAATAAAATATATTTTCTAATCTAAAAAAAAAAGATACTTCTATCACTTGTATCCAGAGATTATAAAAGAGGGATCAATTGTCTGATTTCTTTGCCAATTTCACATTGATAAATAAATGACTCAGTATTAATTATCCCATTATAAGGTTTCTGTTATACTCAAGAGTTAAGGCTGGATGTGGTGGCTCACACCTTATTCCCAGCACTTTGGGAGGCCAAGGTGAGATGATTGACTGAGCTCAGGGGTTTTCGAGACCAGTCCGGGCAACTTGGTGAGACTTCGTCTCTACAATAAATAAAAAAATAAATCGGGCGTGGTAGCACGCACCTGTAGTTCCACCTACTTGGAAGACTGAGGAGGAAGGATCACCTGAGCCCAGCAGGTCAAGGCTGCAGTGGCCATGAGCGTGCCACTGCACACCAGCCTGGGTGACAGAGTGAGACTCCGACTCAAAACAAAACAAAAAGCCAAGTGATTTTCTCTGATTCATTTCTAAAAGTCAGAGAAAATTTAGTCTATCTATAAAAAATAAACCCACTATATGCAGAGTCTCCTTCCATTTTTGTTAGAGCAAGATGTATTCATCAGTAGTAGGAACAGCCTTTTCTTAGAAGCCACAATTGATAATAAAAAGCTCCATTTTCTTTTAGAGTTGAAGTCTCACTCTGTCCCCCAGGCTAGAGTGCAGTGGCAAGCTCACAGCCACCCCACCATCGACCTTCTGGGCTCAGGCGATCCTTCTGCCTCAGTCTTCCAAGTAGCTGGAACTACAGGAGCGACCTACCACGTACCACTAATTTTTTGATATATTGTAGAGACAAGGTCTCACCAAATTGCCTGGGCTGGTCTTGAACCCTGGGCTCAGGCAAGCCTCTTGCCTCAACCTCCCAAATTGTTGGGATTACAGGCTTTAGCCACCATGCCTAGCCTAGTTCCATTTTCTATTTACGAGATTTTTTTTTTAAGTTTTTTTTTAAAAGCTTTACAGGTTCAAGATTTTTTTTTAATTTTTTTTTTTTTGAGTTGGGAGTCTCACTCTGTCACCCAGACTGGAGTGCAGTGACTGCTCCCGGCCACCGCAGCCTCGACCTGCTGGGCTCCAGAGATCCTTCCACTTCAGCCGTCCAAGTAGCTAGAACTACAGGTGTGCGCTATCACGCCCAGCTAATTTTTTGATTTATTGTAGAGATGAGGTCTCGCCAAGT